GCCGCCGACTTGTCCGTGTTGCCGACGCCGTACTTGACCGTCAACGGCGTCGACGCGTCACTGGCAAAGGCCACCGACACGCCGTCCTTGCAGTCGACGGCTTCGGACGAGAGACCGACGTGGACCTGGGAGACCTTGGCGGCGCCAACGAGAGCGAGGCCAGCGAGGCTGAGAATAAGCTGCATGGTGAGCGATGTCGAGCAAGTTGAAAAGTGAGCAGCTCCGTCGCGATGGTTTTGGCGCCTGTCGGTCGTCCGTCGTGCGCTGGGCCCACCCATGGGCCATGTCACCTCGTCTGATTCCAAGGTGGGACAGATGTTGCATGAAACGGCAAGATTCACGTGTGGACCACACCAGATTTTCAAACGTCTGCAATCGAATCTTCCGTCAGAAAAAACAAGTACCAGATGTGGTGATGCTTGCAAACAGTGCTCCACGCCACGTCTTTTTACATGTTGAGTAGATTGGCTCGAAGGGTGCGAAATGCGCGCACGCTATGTACACTGTAGAGCTTTTTCGCACGACGCTGACGCAACTTCCCGCTGCCGCGCTCGCGATCTGGGCAGCTACGATCGCACGATTGCACGTCCGGCACTTGGCTCGTCGCGCTGTGGTGCCATCTCTTGACGCGTCACTGGCCTCTCCGCGACGACCCTTGGTGTGCACGCTACCTGGTCCCTCGCACAATCTCGAATCACGACCACTAACGCTCCTCGCTGAAGCACCGGCCACGCCTCACGAGCGCATTTGGAAGTCCCCAATATCTTTGTAATTGCATGTAATATAACTCCGTTCAACAACAACGCTACCGGTATGCTAACGCTATTACTGTAGTAGAGCTGTTTAAACGGTGTACTACCATGCAGTACATGTACCGGTACATATGTACTTGTGCAAAGTGGACACCATCTCGGGTCGAGGCGTCCGCTGACCGCTTCGTGTGTGTCAGGCTTGTGTACCGCGCTCGTATGGCTTGTAGCTGCCTAGCCTGCGTCGCTGCAGTGTGCGCATAGCTTGTGCGCGCTTGCATCTCCGTTGCAGTACGCCGGCGCAACTCGGTTGCATCCGCGTCATGCACGGTGGTCTTGACCGGCAATGAAAGCTTGCGCTGCTTGGCACGTGGGACCTGGCGCGTTCAAGACGTCGATAAGCGCAGGCTTTTGACGTGAGAAACTTGTTGGAGCTGGGAGCACTGGATGACGGGAATGCTCTTCCCGTCATCGAGTGCATAGTACCGATAGACTGTACGGTATTATCAAAGAAGGAATTCTAGAGGGCCAAAGTGTATCCTAGCGGCAACCTGACGCCAACGTCATGCCCACGGCAACCGGATGCGTAAATTGTTCAACAAAACTTCATGCATGGTTGGCGGTGCACCCGTTCCCATTGTACTGCCTTGGTGGTGCTGTTCCCGACATCGGTCTTGGATTCGGCATTGGTGGTATGCGGTGCCGAATCTGAAAGTGTTTTCTACACATGTTTGAAATATCAAGCCGCATCGTAGTGTTTGATACAAGAGCCTTTGTGGCGGCTGCCATCGCCCTCGTCTTCTAAAGAGCATCGTCAAGCACAAAAGTAGTTTTTCTTTCCATTTCTCTGCAATCACACAGCACTGTGCTTACAGGAAATGTGCAAGAGAGACCAAACACCGTGGCCGTGCCTCAGTGTATAAAACCTTGGTGCATTTATAATGGTTTAAAACTATTTTGCCGAATCCGCCGCATTCGAAAGATCCCAGCCAGCCGAACGAGCGCTCGGCAGCATGCAGCCAGCATGCAGCCAAGTCCGGTCGCGTCGTCGCGCGCGCCGAGGAGCGCAGACCTGTGCGAAGCCTGTACAAGGAGGCCATGCGGCTGCTCGAGTTCCCAAAAGGCGCCTCGGTCGTGCGTGTCCTCACGGCCAAAGAGGAAGTCGACCTCCGGCGCCTGGTAGCATGGGACCTCTCGCGGCTCGTGAGCGCAACAGCGCCGACAACGATCCTCACGCCGAGCAGCATACCCTTCAACACAGCGACCTTTGACAGTTTTGTCAACGCGGCGCTCGGGCCGCGTCTCGAGACGGCGCTTCGCCCTGCCGGCGCCTTTTACACCTCGCTCGCGCACCTCGCGGTGGATCGCATCGGGACGGCCACGACCATGGTGCCGGCGCACCGCCCCAACGGCACGTTTGGTTCGCTCTACGTAGCTTTGCCGCACCCCTTTGTCGGCGGCGCGCTCTCGTTCATGCGTGGCAGCGACACGAGCACGTGGTTTGAGAGCGCGACGTGGTCGATGCTCCGCTACTCGTACGCCGCGTGTTATCGACATACGCGCGTCATCTCCACGGCCATCACCAGTGGCTCTCGTCTCCTCCTCGTGTACAACCTGATCTACCTCGACCCGTGCACGCACACGCGCGACTATCCCATCTCGGTTGATGCCGCTGCGACGCGCCTGTCCACGCTCGCAGCCAAAGCCCACGAGCCCAACGACAGTCGACTGGCCTACCCGGTACGGACGAGTGCGTCGCTGTCGTTTGATGCGCTCTCGGGTCACGAGAGAGACCTTGTCAACGCCTTGATTCTCTCCGGCGACTATGACGTGGCGCTCGGCTGCGTGCGCCCGAAGCTGTCGTTTGACGAGGGCATCAATATGGCTGGCTACATCATGGCGTCCGTGCCCGAGTCGAGCCACATCCTCTGCAGCATCCAACTGCATCCATCGACGGGCGATCTACACTTTCTCAAAGACGGTCTCGCGGGAGCTTTTTTCCACGACTATGTCTCGACCGCCCGCGACGTCGACCACAAGGCGGACGACAACGATCTCCTCGGTGTCGTCGTCTTTTGGCCCAAGCGGCGACGGCTCGAGGCCGCGGGCCCCCATGGCGCATTGCTCTGCCTCGAGGACGCCGTCTCCCGTGGCCCGCCGTATATCGATCATCTTGTCGGCTACGACAGTCTAAACTCGCTCGTGCGCAGTGTCTTGCCTCTGCTGGCCGCGCCCGATCTCTCGAAGGCCTCGATTCTCCAGCGCATCCAAGCAACCGCGAATGCGTCGGCGACCGAGCTCTTCGCTCGCACCGCGCGACTCTTGGACGTCATCGGGGACCCGGCTCTGATGGCCACCTACATGGCAACGTCGCTCGATCTTGATTACTTTGGCACCAAAGCGTCCGAGATTGCGATATGGATCCACCGCGTCTGCTCTACGTTCGGTTGGGAGGTGCTCTCGCATGGGCTCGAGCAGCTGGTAGATCGTTGGACGAACGAGCGGGCAACCATGGCACCCGCGATCCGCTTGATCGCAGCGCTTGCGGGTGTTGACGGCCCCGACCCGCTGTGTCCTTCGCTGCGACAGCCGTATGTTCCCGAGCTCATCAAGGCGCTCTGGCGGACGGCGCAGCTCAACGTCGAAGAGCTCTATTACGTGGTCGAAGCTGCGGAATTGATCAAGGTTCTTGGCGCGTGCCTGGCCGTCGAAGGCTACGTGGCGTCGATGTCCGAGCGGCCCGCTGCCCATTGGCTTCAGGCGCGTCTCCCGCCATTCGCCTTGTCGGCGATTGATACGGCACTCAACCCGGCCACGTCCATGACAGCGATCATGCTCAACGACCCAGACAAGTGCTCGCTGCTCAACGTTGTCACGCACGCACTGGCGCGCAGTCTCGACGCCAACCCGACACTTTGCGCGCCCGGCCTCGCGACGGCCGTCTTGCAACTCCTGGACGACACGCTCGATGGTGTCAACACTCTTGTCGACGATGTGTGGATGACACGAAGTGCCATCGAGGTAGCAGCCGACATGCTTGTCATCGCCTCTCGCCATGGCCGCTTGGTGCCATCTCTTCTCGAGCGCTGCGAGACGATCTTTGGTAGCCTCCTCGTTCCTGCCATCTGCCATGCCCTGCGCCACTCGACGCTGGATCCAGACGTCCAAGCAAAGCTCTTGCAACGAATGCCACCGCCCGAGACCGACGATATCGTCCGCACGCAGGCCAAGCACCTCGACGTATTTTACAAGAAGCATCCACACCCCCAAGTGCCCCCGCCCGACGGGTCCAAGCACGTTCATTGGCGCTGGATCATCGATCTCTTGGAGGTGGTGACGATGGTGGACGCGACCAAGACGCTGTCGTACGTCCAGGCGTGGGTGACGAACGTTTTGGCGCCAAAGCCAGCGTTGTTTGGCGAGGTCGCCTTCTACTGCCTCACGCGTCATGCGTTTTGGCCCACGGAGGCGTGGGTGGCCGTCGCGACAGCGGCGATTCCGGTGCTGCAAAACGAGTTCAAAACGTGGAGCTTCAATTCTCGCAACGTCCGCGACGCCAACCAAGCGCTCGTGCCCTGCGACTGCGTTTTGGCGCGCCAGATCAACGACTTTTTAAGCACCAAGTACGGCGTCGAGGAAGAGGTCTACGGGCCGCGCTGTGACGCCGTGGACGCGTTCTTTGGCGACGACGACGAGCCCGAAACGATGTTCAAGAAGAAAAAACCCATGACGACCATGACACTCACGCGTCGGCGTGAAGCTTTGACGCTCATGCAAAGCAAGTTCCAGACGGCCTCCATGCGTCTCGAACGCCTCCAAGCATTGATGCAAGCGCCGAAGCAGCGCGGAACTCGTCCCAAGCGTCCCGCAGTCCAAGGCAAAGAGGGTGCCAAACGACGGTGTGTTCCGGCGTCGCCACCGATTCTTGCGAGCTAATTATGTTCCGTGTTATCTTCCTTACAAAGACTTCGCACACGTAGTGCTGCGCCTGAGTGCGTGGGAGTTGGCACCAGCACTTGGTCGTTGGGAGTGAGCTCAGAGATCCATCCCGTGGTGGACCCCACTCGCCGAGTGCGAGCGAATTGCATCGACTACTCTTGATAAAAAGTACTCGAGTCGATGATAGACCGATATGCGGGCACTCCGTAAAATGTGTTTGAAGCGACGTACACGACTGCGCTCGCTGGCGGCGCAGCGTTTTAATACACTGTATCCTGTTCTCAAATGTGGCAGATGCCGAATTGACAAGCTGTATGACACCGACGTCTGCATTCGATTCGCGATCCTACCTGGTAATACAATCTGCAAGCACAACACGTCGTGGCCGCGCAATCCAATTGTGGCACATGCCATTTTTAAAGTGAAAAACAGCATGATGTTACACGAAACTGTTTTATACGATCCGACGACAATATTCCAGTCCAGAACATTGCAAACGGTGCTGGAAACAGATATGTTTTTTTCAATGTTCAAAACATATTGAACGTTGCTGCTGGCTCATTGGGACGATGGCAGACAACGCCATGGATGCGAGGTACCAGGAGGTCATGCGCCTGCTCGAGTTCCCAAAGGCCAGTTGCTTGACACGCGACTTCACGTCCGAGGATGAAGCGGCAATCATAGGGCTGCCGGCGTGGGATCTCTCGCGGTACCTCGGCCAAGACACGACGACCATCGTCGCCGCGTCCGACCTCGCGTTCGACACCTCGGCCTTTGATGGGTATGTCAACGCGACGCTCGTCAAGCGCATCGAGACGGCGCTGGCACCCGAAGGGCCGTTCCACGCGGCGCTCGCCCACATCGCGTTCGACGCTGTCGGCGACACGTCCACCTTTGAGGTCGCGCACCGCCCACTTGGCTCGTTTGGCACCTTGTACGTGGCGCTGCCACGTCACGCGCGTGGCGGCGAGGTCGCTTTTCGACGCGGCCATGACCTTCACAAGTGTTTCCTGCCTCGACGCTCAGGAGCACCTCGATACTCGTACGCAGCGTGCTACCGCCACACTCACGTCACCGCGGCTGCCATCACTGAGGGTGATCGCGTCCTCCTCGTGTACAACCTCATTTACAACGACCCGGCGACGCACACCCGCGACTATCCCGCGTCCATTGACGAGGCGGCAGCTCATCTTCGCAAGCTCGGCACGATGAACCACGACCGCTTGGACGTGCTGGAAGGCTGCCCTGTCCTGCAGCAGGGCACCTCGTTCGAGACGCTCTCGGGAGTGGCCAAAGATGTCTTGACCGCCTTGCTACTGTCGGGTGTCTATGACGTGGCACTGGCAACACTCGTGCCTGAGACCGACGTCGCAGTCGACGCGCTGCGCAGCCGCCTCCTTGACTTCGGTTTCAGGGGCCACATCTTCGCACACGTGCAGCTGCATCCAACGACACGTGCGCCATCCGTGCTCCAAGACGCGATGTGTGGCACGATTCTGGGAGATGCACCGCCCAGCAACGAAGTGGCCCACGAGCTCGGCCCGACGCACGCGTTCATTTTTTGGCCCAAGCGACATCGAGTGGAGGCCGCCGGCCTTCATGGCACGATGCTGTGCCTCGAGCGCGCGGTCACCGCCACCAACGATGACGCCAACACCAAGGTGGAGCTCTTGGGCTGCGACGATCTTCCGTCGCTCGCAACCCATGTCATGAAATTCATGCAGACGGACTTGAGTGCCAACGCTATGGACGCATGCCAGCACATTCAAGCTACCATCAACCCGGCGGCGACGTCGTACTTTGACCGGTTTGTCGCCGTGCTCACGACGCTCGGCGATATCAACTTGATACTCGAGTTTGTCGCGACGTCCCTCAACATGACGCACTGCAGCACGTCGCTACCGGACGTCGCAATGTGGCTCTATGGTCTGTGTCAAACGCATGGCTGGGAGCTCCTCTTCACGTCGCTTCTCCAGCTCGTCGACCGGTGGAGCAAGCAGCAAGCGACGATCGCACCTGTCTTGCATCTCATCGCATCGCTCGCGGGCGTGGATGGTGCGACGCCGCTGTGCCCGACTCTCCACCAGCCATTCACGGTTGAGCTCATCAAGGGACTCTACCGCACGTCGCGTCTTGCGATGCGTTCAAACGGCCGCCAGACACCACTCATCATCGAGCACGACGTCCTCGGCCATTGCCTCGTTCTCGATGCGTACGTGGCCGCGAATGGTGTGGCGTCGCACTGGCTTCACGGACGGTTGCCGCCACTGGCGCTGGCAACAATCGACGCGGCGCTTGATCCGCCCGTATTGGTCGCCGGCCTGTTGCTTCGAGCCGGTCAGAAAAGAGATGACGTCCTCTTTGGCACCGCCGCGCCTGCTTTGGCGTACGGTCTCCGCCTCCAACGACGTCTCAGCGTGCCCGCGCTCACCACCGCCATGATCACCAAGCTGCTCCACCCGTCGACGACCTTTGCGAGCCTGGTCGCGACCGGGCGGCGTCGACCCAACGCTGTGCTTATCGTCAGAAGCCTCTTGACGATCGCACTCTGCGATGGCGCATTGACGTCGGCGCTTCTCGAGCGCTGCCGCACCGTCTTTGGCTCGTGCACCGTCCCCGCCATCCGCGACGTCCTCGCGCATGATACTACTGTGGACGATGCGACACGCGCGCTGTTGTTTCAGAGTGTGTTGCGACCTCTGGGTCCAGACCTTGTGAGCTACGACAAGCACCTCAACGACTACTACCGCGACCACCCGCACCCTCACGTCGCACCATCCCACGACCATGCGACCGAAGCGGACGCTGGCTGGCGACTGGCGGTCGACACGCTCGAGCTGATTGCCGAGATGGACGCGAGCCAGATGCTGCCGTGCGTCCAGTTGTGGAACGACCAAGTGCTCTCGCAAGAGCCGTGGATGTATGGTGGGTTTGTCGCCGACTGCCTTCTTCGCCACACCTTTTGGACCCACGAGGCATGGCTCTTCCTCGCCGACCTCTGCATCAAGAACCTTACACCACATTTTGCCGGGCGTCGGCTCCGTGATCTGCGTCCGAAGGTTGAGGCGCGCGTGGACTGCGACTGTGAGCTCGCGACGCAGTTCAACGCCTTCTTGAGCTCCAAACATGCTTTGGTCGAGGTCTTGCGCGCACCAGCGCCCATGTGTACCGCCGTCCAAGCCTTCCTGGACGGCCCCCCGAAGACGACGCTGGAGATGACGTGGCACAACGACGATGACGACGCCTCCGAGCCCGTGACGATCACCATTGAGCGGCCGCACGACGACTTTTCGGACGACGAGGTCGATGCATACTCGTCCAAAACCATGGTCGAGCGCCTCCAAGCCATGAAGAAAAGCAAGACGATGCGCAAGCGGCAAGCGCCACGCTCAATGCGCAATGGAAAGCGAACCTGCGTGCCACCGACTGCACCGTAGCTAACGTTCAGCACCTTAACTATTCTACACGGACTCTATTGTGTGGACGTTCTTCTCAACAACTTTCTAGTTTCGACGACGCCAGGACACATTGGCTGGGTCTTCTCTAGCGGTGCTGGTCACCCCGTCACCGTTGCGGCTGGCCAATGTGAGCCGGTTCACCGCGGCGCTCTCATCGCTGAACAATATAACGAGGTCGCTGCGCTTTACCGAGTTGTACACGTCGACATGGCCCATCATGTCAGCACGGAGATGATCGATGTCGCCAAGTAGATCGACAGGCTGTGGTAAGCGTATGGCTGGGAGCGGCTATCCGACGCCTCATCGATCGATGCACAGACAAGGCGGCGACGATGGCACCAATCTGGTATCTGATTGCGTCACTGACCGGCGTCGACGGCGACACGCCGCTGAGCCCGGCCTTGAACCAGCCGATTCGCATCAAGCTCATCAAGCAACCGTGGCGCACCGCGCGCTGTGCATTGCATCGTCACTGCTGCGAAGGCCGTCGTCGGCATGTCAAGCACGGCCAACGGCCAACGGCGTGCAGGTCCACTGCTGCGTAAGGCCTCGTGCAATTGGCGCGTTAGTTTAGACATTGGGTTGGCCCCATCAGCCATGCAACAAATCATCTTTTCAACCAATCAAATGCAACCAGGGCAACGCTGTCTATTTTGGTTGACAAAATGTTGTCATCCCGTTTCTCATTGCGCATCGCACATCGTTTCCACGTGCGCTTATTCCTTTCTGATATGCAGGTCCATCCCGGGCCTACTGCGTCTCTCGTTCCCAGGCGCGTCGTGACCTTCAACAAGGTCTCCGTTATCTTCTCGAGCGTCTTCCTACTCAACCTCGCCTCCATGCACGCAGCCCATAGCAACTTTTCGTTTATCTCATCGGTCGCTAGGCCGCTCAAGGCGTACTTGACCGAGCCGCTCCCGTGGATGCCTCGTACGGAGCCTTCAATTGGCGTCTCGCCAGGCGCCAACGAGACCTTTGCTGCCTTCGAGGCGCGTGCCCTTGCATTTTACACGTCGCAGTACACGTCGTCGGCACCCTCGAGCGGCGTCCGCTACGTTTACGACGCGACGAACGACGTCGATGTTCTCTGCGGTCGACTCCAACACATGACCGAGGCGTCGTTCAGCTACGCGCCCCTTCCTGGCGCCTTCTTCTATTCCAAACGAACACGCCTCTGGGTCCGCGACGCGAGCCTCGGCACCCGAAATGCCTCGAGCACTGCGCTCGTCCAGCCCGGTACGCTGTTTGGACGCCCGTCGTCCATTGCCGTTCTCTGGATCGACGCGCATGACAGCATTTGCTTTGCAGTCCAGCTCGACCATGGCTCGTCGACGTGGCTCTACTGCAAATTGGGCTTTCGCATGGCCACGACACTTTTGATTCTGAGTCTTCTCTGGTCGACGTACTATGTGCACTACCGATCACTGGCAATCGGGCTGCGGCAGTTTGGCACGTGCGGCGAAAGCGAGCGTTTGGAAATTATTGTCGGCGATCCGACGTGTCTTATTCTCCAAAACACGTGGATCTGCGTCCTTTTTGTGGTGGACTTTTGGTGCAGTCTGGAGACGGCTGGCCAGTGCATTTTCCGAATCGACCAGACCGCCGACAAGTGGGCATTCGCTCTCTCAACCTTGTATCTCTCGCGGACTGTCTGGTTTGGATACCTCGTGCTCAATCTGAGTGGCTACGTCTTGCGACGATGTGGGCTCGAGTCGCGAGTCGCCCAAGCCGACCCGACTGGCGTCGCGATCGGCGTCGCGCTAGTCGTGGGACCGCTGACGTACTACCAGCTTCGGCTCTCGGCTTTCATCGACCTCTACCATGTACTTTACACGGCTTTCTTGCCCCCAAACAAGGCGATGGACTATGTGGAGCACATCCCGCCCGCCATTTTGTACACGATTGTCCTCGGCGCGCTTCCATTGGTCTATAGCTTTGCATGGCCTGCGCTCATACGCCTGGTACGCCAGTTGCTTTGTCGCGTGTGGATCCGTCGCATCCATTCCATGGCCAGCTCATCCCGGCGGCGTCTCTCGCGTGTCGTGTCACGCTCCTCGTTGATGCTCCGTGTGATAGAAGGCGGCGCGTTTGCTCGTTCGAGCTACAACGACTGGAAGCACCGACTGCTGCTCGGGCTCATCTTTGGCTGCGGCTGCTGTCGACGAAGGCACCGGGTACCGAAAACGTTCCGAGGTGGATCGATCTACAAGCTCTTTACGACCCACCGGCATCTGCAGCGCAACGCTGCGTTCAGCTTTCGCGGCAGTGATTGCTACGTGCTGTCGCACACGCCCACAACCACGATCTCGTACCGCCTCAGTTTGAGCGACGCGCTCTTGCTCGACCATCGAACCGACATCGTCTTTGGTTCCACGCCGACAGCCACAACGTTCGGGCGACTTATCATGAATCCGAAAGGGACGATCGATGTCCAATTGGGGGCCGAGCAGTCGCGCTGGATCATGTAGATCGACCGTCTTCTTCTCGGTGGCAACGTGGCAAGCATGCTCAGTTATGATCTTATCAAGGGCTCTTGAAAGAACTTTGAAAAATGCAAGGACAGTTCTCGGCGTAGTCTTATCACTTGCTGGCGCGCCGCGCCACTTTGGCCGCTGCATCCTTGGACAAACACAGCGGTGCGTCGTCATTTCAGTTGAGAGACAACTCGGGTGTGGTGCACTCAGTTGATGTCTCGGAGCAATGAGCATGTGCGTTGCATCGATTCGTGAAGCGATCCTACTTACAACTGTATCGTGGCCGGCAGAAGAGTTGCAGAATCAATGGAAAAACATTTCATCGACCACGGCAAGTTGCAACGACGGAGCAAGCGTGCAGGGGCGCCCCTGATAGGATGTCGCTATGGGAGACGAGCCAAAATGCATTCCTGGTCGCCTCGCTGTGCTTCGCTCTTTTTGGCTCGGTGTCTGCCGCTCTTGCTCTGAATCATGAACTAACAGCAACTTGATGACTTATTACTCACTACTTGGTCACAAGTCGAACAAACAAAATTTCTGGATCGCCAACCATGCAGCCAGGCGTCGAGCTAGAAGAACCAGAGCCAGCGTCGCTTTGCCGGTGGTTGCAGCGCCTGCAGCGTCGTGGTCTTCAGTTCTCGGAGCGCGGCCACTCGGCGCAGGTCGCCGTCAGGTCCATTGGCCGTTTGCACAACGCTCAGCAGCGTCTTGCGGACGCGATAGCTGGTCGCACACTCGTGCTCGAGAAGCAGACGGTCGTTGTGGTTAAGGACGAGCTGGCGGAGGCAGCGCGGGACAGGTCCCGACATGCTGAGCAAGCAGCGCATGTCGGACGCCAGGAGCTCACCGTGCAGCCTCGTACACGCTACGCAGTCGCACGCCACGTAGAGGTCGTCCATGGCCAGCCCCCGTCTCGGTACTTGGAGCGCAGCCTCGTGGCTTTGCAAGCACGCTTGGACAAGCCGAAGCCGGGCATGCGGCGTCAGAAGATGCGAAAACGATGCCAAGAGGCGGTAGATCACAGCGCGGTATGCGTGAAGCGCCCACGGCATCCCGTCGAGCTCATGCAAGAGACTAGTCACCAGCGCATCGATCTGACCGGTTGAAGGCATTCCTTCGAGGACCGTCAGCAGCAGATGCAGCTGGACGTCGCTAAATGAGGGTAGACGCTGTGGCGTGACATGCGGTCGCCCATGCTGCGCGTAGTACCGAGCGAGATGGCCGATGGTATCGGGCGGCGTCGCGCGGCGAAGGACCTCGGGCGCGCGCTGGAGGATCGCAACGACATTGGTCGTTGCGCCCAGTGATGGATGCGCCGATAGCACAGCGACAAGGGCGGGAAGCAGAGCAAGGCCGGCGTGGACGTAGCACGCCTCGAGAAAGGCCGGGCTCCATCCGATCGTGTCGCATCTCGCTGCCAGGAGCGTAGCCGTCATGACGTCCACAAGCAGAACGCTGCCCCATGCGGCGTTGTCGAACGCTGCGGATGGGCCGGTGCGCGCTACATCGGGCACGAGCGACCCGAGATTGAGGTTGACGCTGACGTTGAGATTGACGTTGACGTTGCGCACCGCCCACACGGCCGGTGCCACGACGGCGATCGGCGGAAACGACGCCGGGTGCCGTGCCACCAGAGTCGCAATTTTGCACACGTCGGTCGCGCCAAATGCAGCGATCTCAAGCAGCAGAGCCGTCGGTAGTCGGTCGTAGAGCCACGTCCCTGCCACGACCTCGAACCTCGTGACGTCAACGTACTGCTCCAGTAGGAGGCTCCGCGTCAAGAGCGACGTCGCCTCCGCGTACGCCGTGATGGGCGTGTGCAGGCGCAGTACAAGCTGCGCATGCAAGACGTCGTAGCTAGCGCGTACGAGCTCGCCGAGAAAGGGCGCGGCGAGCCGGGAGCAGACCGGCGTCGGGTCTACGCCGGCGAGACTCGCGACGAGCTGAAAGGCGTGTTCGAGGTGCGTCGGACTCCAGCGACGGAGCAGCGACTGCAACGCCGATACGAAGTGTTCCCAGCCAAACTTGGTCAAGACCGCATGGATCCAGGTGCTGGCGGTCGAAAGTGCCACGTCCGACTGCAGCGTCAAGTACGTTTCGAGGAAAAGACAAGCCAGCTGCGGCTCCGACGACGCGAGTAGCGCTGCGGCGATCGCGGGAAAGGCAGAGACCCACGTTGAGGCTACGTAGAGCTGGAGGCGCTGGCCGCTTGTCAGTAAATGCAGCGGGCTGGCATCGCGATCGCGAAACTTTGCAAAGATCTCGGCGGCAACTGTGGCGACGTCCGAGGCCCCGAGAAGGGCCAGTGTCGCGACGCGGTGGCGTGGGTCGTCGACGGCGCGGACCAGCCACTGCACGGACGTAGGTAGCCCCACGAGGCGTGCGCGGTGCGCCTTGGGCCAGAAGAGGAGGCGCACACCATCGACGTCGCGGCCGCGCATCATGCGCACCTTGGCGGCCGCCACGCCATGCAGCACGATACCAGGGATCGCAGACGACGGAAAAGCAACCACCTTGGGGTGTACGGACCGCGATAGCGCAATGTCAAAGTCGCCGGCGATGCGCAGGGCGTCGAAGATGCGCCCGTCGTCGCCTTGGAGCAGCTCAAAGCAGAGGGCGTCGTTGCGCGCCTGGAGCGCGTAGCCCATGACGACCTCGTCGGCTGCATGCGCCTGGCGCGCGACGCCGCGCAGGAGAGCGATCGCGCGGGTGCTGTCGGTCGCCAGCAGGGCGAGGACGTCGTCGTACCGGCCCATCGCGTCGGGCAAGCGAATTGGATTCTGTGGGTATTCTGCTTTGAAACACAATATCGAAACAGAGTATAAAACAGAGTCTTGGATTGAGAATTCGGTCGCCAAGAGCAAGGAGCCGACCCGAGGGCGCGCGATCGGCCAGATCAAGGGAAAATACAATGTCGCCACAAGTTGGTCGAGCGATAGAACGGTCATTGGAGAGCGCAACGCGCTATACTACGTCCTCGGTTGCGACTTTTAGTGCGAGCAATGCGCAACACTATTAATATTGGCACATGCCATGTATAGTCAACTCTAGCCACATTGGAGCGTATCTTGAAAAACCGGCGTCCACCCGGCTTCCGCCGCAGAGAACTGCGGGTGGCGCAGAGCCCACCGATCGTGCGACTGCAACGAGTGCTTTGACAGCCACCATAGAAAGACTATGAGGTCATGGACCGCACACGCCAGTGCTGCGACCGCCAGGAGCATGGGAAACGTCGGTGCCCACGCAAAGCCTAGCCCGACAAGTAACCCGAGCCCAGATGGCCACGATGCGACAGCGCAGGACCCACCACACGACTCTTTCAACAAACAACGACACTGCATTAGCACCCGCTTTAATGACACTATGGACGTTGCGACACGATCGCTTAGCACGCGGGCTTGGCGCGGCTCTTGATCTCGACCGAGTCAAAGATCGTCGTCGTCTCGCCGTTGGCGCGGTAGTAGATGGTCAACTTGTCGTTGTCGGCGACGAGGCGCGACGCGCCGTAGAGCGAGCTCGACGTTGACTTGGACCACTCGGGGATCGGCTTGATCGCGCCCTGGTACAGCCCATGGCCACCCGTGCCGACGGTAACATAGATCGGGGCACCTTCCGTGATCTTGTTCTTGTAGAGGGGCGCCGTGCGCTCGTACGCGTGCACGTGGCCGGCAATGACGGCGTCGACGCCGTGCTTGGCGTAAACGTCCTCAAACTTGCCCTGGAGACCGCAGTGGGGCTCGTCATACGTGTCACCGAGCTTGCCGCCCGTGGACGTCGAGTTCATGTAGTAGTTGCCCTTCCAGCACGACTCGACATCGTTGATCTCAAACTTGACGGGCGAGCACTGGCACTGGTGGCTGGCCCACGTGTTGTAGTACGGGTTGTGCTTGAAGACAACGACGAACGGCGTCTTCTCGCGGTTGACGGCCGCGAGGTCCGCCTTGAGCCAGTCGAGCTGCTGGTTGCGGTGCGTGAGCCAGTAGTTGGAGCCAATGTTGTCCGTGCCGAAAATACCCGTGTAATCGTCCAAGAAGACGGTGTGGATGTTGCCGACGTTGGCCGAGTACCACGTGCGGTGGTCCTGCTTGGCCTCGTCCGTGATCGGCGTGATGATGCGGTTGCTATACGCCGAGTAGGTCTCCGTGGGGCACTCGGGGCGGTCGTAGTTGACGCCCTCCCCGTGAATGACTTCGTGGTTGCCGCTGATACCGAGGAGCGGCACCTTGGAGAAGAGCGGCTGCGTCGCCTCGAGCCACGTGTCCCAGTCTTCGTGGCAGCCGTTGGCGTACGTCCAGTCGCCGGCAATGATGACGGCGTCCGGCGTCGAGCCCTTGAGGTCGCTGCCGAGGTTCGAGATCGTGTCCTGGATGTTCTCAATGCCGACGTCACCGACGACCGAGAGCACGGTCTTCTTGCTCGCAGCCGGCACGGTCTTGAAGCTACCGCTGTACTCCTGGACGGCGTAGTTGAACTTGGTGTCCGCCGGGAGGTTGCAGAGCTTGGCCGTGTGGAGGTTGGGCGACGTGTACTTGTACTTGCCGCCGTCGACCTTGTACGTGTTGACGGTCGTCGTCACCGACTTGTCGGTCGCGCCCGCACCGTACTTGAGCGTCATCGGGGTCGCCACGTCACTGGCAAACGCAATCGTGATGCCGTCCTTGCAGCCGACAGCTTCGGACGAGACACCGACGTGGACCTGCGAGACCTTGGCGGCGGCCGACGCGACAAGGGCGAGACCGGCGAGGCACTTGGAGAGCTGCATCGTTGAGGCGAAGGAGGCAAGTTGGAAAATGAAAGTCGACCCGTGAGACCCAAACACCCGGTGGACGGCCGCAGATTCAACGACCACTTCGAGTCCTACGCATAGCCAACTGCTTGGAATCTTGGTCATCCCACAGTGGTTGCTTGAAGTATACTGCAACAACGTAGTATAGTCGCAAGGGATGTGGCGGCTTGTGTGCGAGGGCAGCCAGAAAGGGTTGACGGCACCATGAGATGAGGTCGTCCTGTGCGAGGGAAGCGAATAAGGGACTGGGAGCGATAGCTCGGTAGCGTGCGCGCAGAACCACCTGGTGGTGGTGCAGTGAGGCCGGAATGATCGCACACCGGCGTCCCACTTTGGCTTGGGACGTTTGCACATTGACTTTGCTCTTGAAGGCAAGCGCTATAGATCAAGATGGGGTCGCGAACGGTGTGAGTACATCTTAAAGGTGTGTGTTGGTCTGGCAGAGGGAGGCATTTAATGCTAAAATGTGTCTGCGCAGCGCGTCGGTGTGAGGCCGCGACGTGCATCTAGTCCATGTAACGAAAGGGCTGTCCGTGCAGCGAAAGGGTTGCCCCTGCCAGAAAACATCTGCGTGGACCATATCCAAGTCGAGATTTCGTACTTTAACAAAACAATAGTGGGCCGAATCCAAATGTACGCATCTGAGCCAACGCCATTCAGCGTCTGCTGACAGGCTTTGCCTGTCTCGCACTTTACTGTTGCACATACTCATCAGAGTTGACAGGCGCATTATCGGACGGTCGTCAATCGCTGGAACAATCTCGGCATGTTCGCCGCCGTTGCCGTCCCTAGCACTGCTAGATCTTGCGCCAAGTACGATACGGAGCTCTCCATAGCCAAGCGAATGTATTGTTTGGACGTTGAAGCACGCCAGACTATATTTCGGTGCTTTTGCATGATCAGAAGTCACCCTTCATCAACATCGTGGTCCGTTGTTGTTGGTGCATAGCCAGCGAGAAACCGAGCTACAAGGTAGCTTCATGGGTGAGTCCTGTGCAACGGCGACTGTGGTCCGTGCCATAAAATGTGAACGAGGCAGATTCCAGCAGACTACCGGTAGAAGCCTCAATTGGATGGACCGGAACTGCGACAGTTTCACATGCTATGTAACGAGAAAGAGTTTTTGGGCGGTCAGCAGAGCTCCAGAATACGTGGATCAAATGGGTCAGTGCATCTCCGATGGCATCTACCCTCGACTTACAGCGGGCATTTAGGCTATGCATAGCGCGCTACAGCACCAAGCAACTGATCACGTCAATTGTCGACGCACGTATCCACCGAGTTTGTGCCTTGAGACCAAAGATACCGCCCAGCTTGCGAACGCGAAGTCCATGGTCCAAGCTGGTAGGAACCGCGCGCTTGCTATTAGTCCAACGCTCTCACAATGTACATTCCGTGTCTCGTTGTTGGCATTTCCCACCCACTACGAACCATCGCAAGCCAAAGTGGGACGCCGGTGTGCGATCGTTGTTGTTGAAGTGGGTCCTCTATTACAATAGATAAAACTATGCTAAATAAAATTGTCGGACTTTCTTCGTTGTGTGGACTCGGTTGAGGAACTTGATTTAGGCAGGCGGAGGCAGGAGTGCGATCCGCGGGGCGAGGTGACGTCGCGGCCACTCGTGTTGGGCGAGGAGCCGGAGAAGCCGACGAAGAGCAGGCTGCTCGGGCTCTTGTGCGAGGCTGTGGTGCAAGTGCAGTTGAGCGACACTTGCCGCCTTGACGGCAATCGTCCATGGACTTGGCAGCGGTAGGTCGGCGCGAAAGACGCGATCGTTCCGGACTCGCCAGACGTTGAACCAGACGCAGGCGCGGAGCACGGGCCAGAGGTAGCGGAACGCGGCTTGGTGGATGTTGGACGCCGTCTTGGGCGTCGAGTAGAGGTAGCCTGAGAGCGATGTCGGCAAGGTCACGCCCAAAGGGACCGTGACGGCGTGAAGCGTGCTCCACACGTCCTTGATGAAGTCGCAGTCTACGAGGAAGTGGCGGTACGTCTCGTGCTCGGGGCAGAAGAGGCACGCTTGGTCGGCCCTGTCGAGCCAGTGCAAATGGGAATGAAACTTGACCGCGCGGAGCATCACTTGGTAGACGAAGTCGGCGTATTTGGGTAAGATGTCGTCAGGTAGTCGGAGCTCGGCTGCGGCGGCTAAGGCAGCAGGCTCCTCGTAGAAGTCTTCATTGACGCCCAGGTGGCGGGTTGGTAGCTGCAAGCGGGTCCTTGGCGGGGCACGACGTCAGCGGGCGTCGATAGGGTCAGCGGCTTCGTAGCCTTGTGGAGGCGAACCAGCCATGGCGGCTTGGAAATCGGGCTTGCAACGGGGCCACACGTGAAGGCGTCTACAGTCGTAGCGAGCCAGCCAAGCCAGTTGTCGTTCGGTATCACGTGTGGGCCGAGGTCACGGCCGCGGCACTTTGCCGTCACCGCGTGGATGAGGCGTTGAGTTCTTGTCGCGAGCGTCTCCGTCGGGGCGGCCGCGAGCATCAAGGTGTGGACGTGCTGGACTTGAGTGATCCCGATCTTGGCCATCGTCCGTGCGTCCCGAGTGCTCCATCTTGTGGTCTTTTCGATGTAACTACAGCTATCTACCGGGAGAAACTGGTTGGACCAAAACGGTTGCTCGTACCAGCGGCGACGGCGCCGGAAGCGTGCTCGGCCCCACGCGAATGTCGAACCAGTACTTAGGCATGAACTTAAACCGGTTCCGCACTGCATTTGACGTAAGCAGGCGACGGATCCGGGGGAGCGTCGGGTCGGCGAAGGTGAGGTCGGCAAAGTTGCCCCACGGCGCGTAGGCCGGTGCGCGATCGTTCCGGCATCACTACGCCACCACCAGGTGGTTCTGCGCGCACGCTACCGAGCTATCGCTCCCAGTCCCTTATTCGCTTCCCTCGCACTGGACGACCTCATCTCATGGTGCCGTCAACCCTTTCTGGCTGCCCTCGCACACAAGCCGCCACATCCCTTGCGACTATACTACGTTGTTGCAGTATACTTCAAGCAACCACTGTGGGATGACCAAGATTCCAAGCAGTTGGCTATGCGTAGGACTCGAAGTGGTCGCTGAATCTGCGGCCGTCCACCGGGTGGGTGTTTGGGTCTCACGGGTCGACTTTCATTTTCCAACTTGCCTCCTTCGCCTCAACGATGCAGCTCTCCAAGTGCCTCGCCGGTCTCGCCCTTGTCGCGTCGGCCGCCGCCAAGGTCTCGCAGGTCCACGTCGGTGTCTCGTCCGAAGCTGTCGGCTGCAAGGACGGCATCACGATTGCGTTTGCCAGTGACGTGGCGACCCCGATGACGCTCAAGTACGGTGTCGGCGCGACCGACAAGTCGGTGACGACGACCGTCAACACGTACAAGGTCGACGGCGGCAAGTACAAGTACACGTCGCCCAACCTCCACACGGCCAAGCTCTGCAACCTCCCGGCGGACACCAAGTTCAACTACGCTGTCCAGGAGTACAGCGGTAGCTTCAAGACCGTGCCGGCTGCGAGCAAGAAGACCGTGCTCTCGGTCGTCGGTGACGTGGGCATTGAGAACATCCAGGACACGATTTCAAACCTCGGCAGCGACCTCAAGGGCTCGACGCCGGACGCCGTCATCATTGCCGGTGACTGGACGTACGCCAACGGCTGCCACGAAGACTGGGACACGTGGCTCGAGGCGACGCAGCCGCTCTTCTCCAAGGTGCCGCTCCTCGGTATCAGCGGCAACCACGAGGTCATTCACGGCGAGGGCGTCAACTACGACCGCCCCGAGTGCCCCACCGAGATGTACTCGGCCTACATCAACCGCATTGTGACGCCGATCACGGACGAGGCCAAGAAGGACCACCGCACGTGGTACTCGGCCAACGTCGGCAACATCCACACCGTCTTCTTGGATGATTACACGGGTATTTTCGGCACGGACAACATTGGCTCCAACTACTGGCTCACGCACCGCAACCAGCAGCTCGACTGGCTCAAGGCAGACCTCGCGGCCGTCAACCGCGAGAAGACGCCGTTCGTCGTTGTCTTCAAGCACAACCCATTCTACAACACGTGGGCCAGCCACCAGTGCCAGTGCTCGCCCGTCAAGTTTGAGATCAACGATGTCGAGTCGTGCTGGAAGGGCAACTACTACATGAACTCGACGTCCACGGGCGGCCAGCTCGGTAACACGTATGACGAGCCCCACTGCGGTCTCCAGGGCAAGTTTGAGGACGTTTACGCCAAGCACGGCGTTGACGCCGTCATTGCCGGCCACGTGCACGCGTACGAGCGCACGGCGCCCCTCTACAAGAACAAGATCACCGAGGGTGCCCCGATCTACGTTACCGTCGGTACCGGTGGCCACGGCCTCTACCAGGGCGCGATCAAGCCGATCCCCGAGTGGTCCAAGTCGACGTCGAGCTCGCTCTACGGCGCGTCGCGCCTTGTCGCCGACAACGACAAGTTGACCATCTACTACCGCGCCAACGGCGAAACCACGACGATCTTCGACTCGGTCGAGATCAAGAGCCGCGCCAAGCCCGCGTGCTAAGCGATCGTTTCGCAACGTCCATCGTGTCATTAAAGCGGGTGCTAATGCAGTGTCGTTGTTTGTTGAAAGAGTCGTGTGGTGGGTCCTGCGCTGTCGCATCGTGGCCATCTAGGCTCGGGTTACTCGTCGGGCTAATAGGCTTTGCATAGACACCGACGTACCATGCTCCTCGCGGTCGCAGCACTGGCGTGTGCGGTCCATAGCCTCATAGCCTTTCTCTGCTGGCTGTCAAAGCACTCGTTGCAGTCGCACGATCGGTGGGCTCTAGTAGTTCTCTACGGTGGAAGCTCGTTTTTCAAGATACGCTCCAATGTGGCTATAGTTGGCTATACATGGTGTGTGCCAATACTAATAGTGTTGCGCATTGCTCACACTAAAAGTCGCGACCGAGGACGTAGCATAGCGGGTTGTGCTCTCCAATGACCGTTCTATCGCTCGACCAACTTGTGGCGACATTGTACTTTTCCTTGATCTGGCCGATCGCGCGCTCTCGGGTCGGCTCTTTACTCTTCGCGACCGAATTCTGAATCCAAGACTCTGTTTTACACTCTGTTTCAATATTGTGTTTCAAAGCGGAGTACCCACAGAATCCAATTCGCTTGCCCGACGCGATGGGCCGGTACGACGACGTCCTCGCCCTGCTGGCGACCGACAGCACCGGCGCGATCGCTCTCCTGCGCGACGTCGCGCGCCAGGCGCATGCAGCCGACGAGGTCGTCATGGGCTACGCGCTCCAGGCGCGCAACGACGCCCTCTGCTTTGAGCTGCTGCAAGGCGACGCCTTGCGCTTCTTCGACGCCTTGCGCATCGCCGGCGCCTTTGACATTGCGCTATCGCGGTCCGTACAGCCCAAGCTGGTGGCTTTTCCGTCGTCTGCGATTCCTGGTATGGTGCTGCGTGGCGTGGCGGCCGCCAAGGTGCGCATGATGCGCGGCCGCGACGTCGATGGTGTGCGCCT